GCCACCGCCTCGCCGGGAGCGCCCGAGCCCGGCGGGAAAAGGGTTAACGTGAATAAATCAGCATATCTTAGTGACGTCACCCCCGGCTGCAGCCAACGACGTGGGGGGGCTGCAGGGGAAGATATGGAAATGATCCCCCCGTCGGACCCCACGGGGGTCTCGAGGGGCAAAAAGAGGCAACGTACCATCCCCCACCCCCAAAACCCTCCGCATGGCTCAGCCGCACCCCACCCCTGCCCGGGGGCACCAACCCCGCCCCGGCTCCCCCTCATGCTGGGCAGGGGACGGAGCTGGTACTCGGTGGGGAACACGGTGGCACCGGCTTTTGATGGAAAAGCACGGAAAGATTTAGGTTGGGTGCTCCTAGGGTACAGCCAGGTGAGTGTGTGTCCTGGGTGAAACATCTGGAGTGAGATGCTTCCTGCCCTGCAAGCAAACCTGCGTGCACCTTTCATCCCTGGGAGATGCATCCTTCCCCCCACCCACTGCAGGCAACCCTCACCCCGGCAAACGCTCCCAGACCTTGCACACCCTCTCCTGTGGCTCCCGGCCCTGGATGTGGCTCCAACCTCAAGTGAGGCCAGGGAATAGGACAGCTTTTTTGGACTCTGGATAAACCTCTCACCACCCGAGTTGGGATGGTGAGGCGACGCTCAGAGGGGCGACTGGTGTCACTGGAGGCCTTTGCAGAAGTTAATCCCCAGCATTGCCGGAGTCCCCGGTGGGATTAGCCACTAGATCGCACTCTTGCTTTATGCACGGGCGGGGGAGCTGGCAGGTACTTGGCAGCAGGGAGCGGGATGCTGGAGGCAGCCTGTTCACCCAAGCACTACCCACCACGCAAGACGTAATTCCAAACGGGATGTGCTGCAGCAGCTGGGAGAGAGCCAGCTCCTCCGGCCCCGCCGCCAGCCAAAAATAACCACGGCGGGGTGACTTTCAGCGGGGAAGTGATCTGCATGGCTCTACAGGCAGGGTGCTGTGTGCTGAAATGCAGCTGCTTCCAGGACAGCGACTGCTCATCCCTTGGGATGAAAGTGGCAAGGGTTAGGGGGCGATTTTGGTGGGGAAAGAGGGCTGGACCTGTTTTACAGCTTGTCTGGACATAGTCCTGTCAGTGCGATAATCACCCCTTCCTGGGACAGCTGCCTCCGCAGGAGAGCACCTACGTGCCAGCCACTCACCATCACTGGGAGAGGCTGGATTCATCCCCATGACCCAACGCACGCTGCAAATTCCCCTCATGCATTTGTTTCCCTCTCGGTCACTGTGACTCACGCTCTCCATCTGCCTGTTTACAGGCTGTTTTCTCAAGGTCCCTGCGGAGGCAACGACTGGTTGGGAAGAACTGGGCTATTTGCCCAGATACTTGAGGGAAAGCCCCCAGAAGTCTGGGAGCAGGAGGGAAGGGGTAGGAGCTGGATGCCAGCACACTGGGACCTCTCTGAAGGGACAGAGGCCACTGTGTGTCCCACAGCCCAGCTACTCCCACAGACTGGCTACACCCACAGACTGGCTACACCCAGGAGCCTGGGGCAATGCTGGGTCTGGCACCACCAGCCTGCCTGGCATTGCTCTGGCAGCTGGATGCCTGCAGGGCAGAGGTGGGTACCACCCACACCACTCCAGCTCCAAAAGGTCAAGCGTCACCAGCCTGGAAATGGCACCCACACTGCTTCCCTTCATCTCCCATCAGTGGGTGTCTGGTTTGCCAAGCCCCCTTGAAGCAGGGATGGGGAGAAGGCCCTCAATGGGCTCACAGAGGGATGGAGGGCTTGATGGTAAGGGAAGGGCAGGAGGATGGAGTCCCAAGGGCTGGCAGGTCTCCCTTGAAATAGCCCCAGAGGGAGGTTCCCAGTGTAAGCATCCCCTCCCTGCATTCTGGCCCTGCCTCCCTGGGGATGCTGAGGCACAAGGGAGAGGGAGTGGTGAGGGGAGGAGGCTGTGCTTTGTGGTTTCACGGTGCATCTGTGCCCTTTGAATTCCCATGTGAATGTGGAGGTGGTAAAATGTCACCAGCTGGGCCGTGGGGAAGGGGGCTGGGTGCATAAAACCCCAACAAAGGGCAGGCATTGTCTGGGGAGTGGCGGCAGGGGGCCACCAGCCCCCGCCACCCCACAGCTCAGGTGCTGATGAAAAGGCAGCTTTATCCCCCCCCCAAGCTCCTTGTGGGAGGTAATGCAGATCCCTGGCATTTTGGGGCATGGTCCAAACAAATCCCCCTGGGATCCCTCCCAGGGGGAGGTAGAGGGTAGCACAGTGTGCCCCACCCCAATGACCCCATTCTGGGCTGCTGGGGCTGCTCTCCCCCATCCAGCCTCCCATTCCCACATCCTGGCAAGCCTGACCTGCGTGGGTTGATGGGATGATCCCGCTCAAGCTTGAGAAGCAGCCCAGCCCCCCGCCCAGCTTCTCTGTTTCAGGGCCTTTTATGGCCATTGGCTCCGGCAGGGCAGCAGCCAGGGTGACTTCCCAGTTGGCCGGATTCCTGCCAGGCAGGGGAAAGGGACACTGGTGGAGTCACCCGGGGATGCCCTGGAGGCAGTTCACCCTCTTCAGTCCCAGGCACCAGCTCCTGCTGTGGAACAGCAGTGTTGTGGGGGCACCGCATCCTGTACAATGCCAAGTTTACTTTGTGCCTGCTGCCATGTATGGAGGTCAGTGGATCAAGGGACACTCCCAAATAGTTTGTAAGGGTGTTATGAACTCCACGGGGTCCTGAGTGGAGGAACTGTAGCACAAAAAGTCCCCTCCCCCGCCATGGAGGAGGGCTGAAACCCCAGCTCTGCTTTGGGGTGACGTCCTGGAGAGCTGGTGGGCACAGGGTGGAGGAAGGCAAGGCCTCACCTCCATCCCTGGGCAGCCAAGCTCCTGTGCTCCACCCTGGAGCCAGCTGCACACAGACAGCGGTGAAGCAGTCCCCCAGCCCCGGGATGAGAGGTGTTGCTGCAAACATCACCCGTCATTTCCTCCTCTGTGGCGGGAGCTATGGAACAGGTTCTTCAGCAACTCCCTGGCACAGCAACAGGACAGGGAGAGGCCGGGAAAGGTGCCAGCCGAGACTTGGCACTGCCATCCAGAACCGCCCTGTGTGCCGCCTGGAAAGAGGCACCCCAAACCCTGGCTGTGCCAGTGGAAAGCCAAGCTGGATGGGTGCTGGAGGGTGCTGTGTGGGCCACTAATCTCAGTCAAAAACCCCTGGGAGACAGCTGTAGGGGAAAACACAGGTGTAGTGTGTTCAGTGTTGGGAACCAATCCAGCAGCTGAGCAAGGTGGCCAGGGCTGCATCCTGCCCTGCTCCGTTGGTGACAAGATCCCCTTCCCAGCTGTAAAGCAGGGTCCCAGCCAGGGTCCCCATCCCTGTTTCCAGGCTGCTGAGGGCGAGGGGAAGATGTGTCGGCAACTCCACAGCACATGTATCCCAGTGTGAGCCCAAGTGTGGGAGTTTACGGGGCTTTGACGCAGGAGATGTGTGATGGGAGAATTGTTGCCAGGCTCGGGGAAGGATCCAATCGCACCAGGGTGCTCTCAGCAGATTAAGGATTGGAAAGCTCTGGTAATTACTTTGCAGTATAAAAATAGTCCTGGCTTTATCCCTCACCCTGATCTCCCACTCCTGCCTCTGCCTGCCCCACTTCTCCCCCCATAGCCAAGGGTGAGCAGATGTCACCCACCCAGCGAGCACAGCAGGAGGGCACAACACAGCTGCTGGCCTGGTGCTGGCAATTCTGGATGGAGGGGGTATAAAACATGGAGAGGGGGTCCAGGATGGGGTAGTGACAGCAGCACAGCAATGGCATCTGGCTGGCACGTGCAAACCGTGCGGATCGCGAGGCTGGGAGAGGAGCTGGGGCACGCACGGAGGCGTCTCGGCATACTGTGAGGCATTGTGCCAGGGAGGGAAGGGCCCAGAGACATCAGCAGAGCAGATGTCTGGTCAGGAGAGGACTATGTCTGTAGGACCATCTGACACAAAGAGGAAACATGGCTCCGGCTCTGGTCATCACCACATGCTGGTAGCTCCGAGAGGACCCAAGAGAAGGCTGCTCCACACACGGAGTGCGGAGCAGCATGGATTGACTCGGGGCACTTCCCGGGCCTCCCCCTTCCCTTTGCTGGGGTCTGGGAACATGTAGCAGTTGGAAAAACAGGGACAAAGCATGTGGGAAACACTCCTGGACACGAAGTCCGGCCTGTCCTCTCACCTTCTCCCACAGGCTGCAATAGTTCTGGCCAATCTGTGTCTCTTGGCAAAGTTAAAACACAGCCTGTCCTTCATCCTTGCATGGTGCCATACTCCCTTGCCAGAGCCTGCCTTTTCCCTTGGCCGAGGCCAAAGGAAAAGGTTATCCCTGCAACCTCCCTGCAAGCCACCCAGCACACAGGCAGCATTGCAGGCATGTTGCAGGCAGCATTGCAGGCAGTGTAGCACGCGGGAACCTCTAGTCTGCCAGCATGCCCCAGCATGTTCCATGCAGCCTGTTCAGCCCTGGGGGCTCCCACCCACCTCAGCTTGGCCAGGGAAATGGCTCAGCTGCATCCAGAGGCTTCTGGATGCGGGGGGCAGCAGCTGCCAGCCCCATTCCAGGCCATGTAAACCTCGGGCTAGTGGAGCAGTGCTATAAATATCTCCTTTAGCAAGACCCAGTCACGCAGCAGAGATCACGTAAGGGGAAGTGCTGCCCTCCCGGTCTCCGAGCCTTGGTGCCTGCGCAGCACAACCCGATTGCCCGGAGTCCCCCAATCTCCAGGTTCACGGCAAGGGCACTGGGGTGCAAAGCCCAGCGGTGGCTGGTGGAGCACTGGGCGGATCGTGTGGGCAAGCACAGGCGGCATTTCTGTCACCAGCACAGAGAGTGGGCAATACCAGGCCAACGGATCCCCCATCTGCCTCCAGGCCACCCCCCACCCTCCTTTAGAAGTGCAACACCCCTAAACCCATCTCATTCAGTGCCACAACCCCCCCGCATGGCATCCCCCACCCTCACCCACCTACATATTCAACCCTTCCTGCTGCACTCTGGGCACTCTGTGTCCCCCCCCGACCCCTGTGCAAATCTTGCAGCTCCTCTGTACCTTGAAACCCTCGGCTGGGGAAGCAGAACCCCCTCGCCCGTCGGGATGGCTGCGACCCCTGTTCCCTGCAGAGCCCCCACCTCGGAGCAGCCCCCAGCCCGGAGAGGGGGGCGTGTGGGTGGGGAGGAACGCTGCCCCCACGCACTGTCGCCCCCAGCCCCGTTTGCAGACAAATAACCCTCCCCTCCCGCCGGTACTTTTCCATACGCACCCGCCTTGGTCCTTTGTTCTGTGCAAATCCCGGATCCGGCCCGCTCCCGGCACAGGGGTTGCAAATACCCCCTGGCCCACCCCGGATTTACCCGCCTGCACCCCCTGGGTGCCCCGTTGCCCTCGGAGGGGGCGCGGGTGACGGTACCGGGCTGGGGTGGGGGGCTGAGCTCCGGTCCGGCCGCCCCCGCCCGCTTGCCTGGCTGCGGCCGCTGCCTCCTTCGCCTCTGCCCGGAGCCGGGGCACCGGAGCCGCCGGGGTGCGGAGCCGCCACGGGGCACCGGAGCCTTCCAGAGGTGCCGGAGCCTCCCAGAGGTACCGGAGCCTCCGAGGCATTCCGGAGCCGCCCAGGGGTACCGGCGGTGCCGAGCTGCCCGGGCGTGGAGCCACCCGAAGGTACCGGAGCCGCCGCGGAGCCGGGGCCGCCCGGTACCGACCCACGGCGGTGCCCGGGCCGCCGGAGCCGGTCTCGGTGCCGCCGCTCTCCTCCGCTTCTCCCCGCCCCGCGCCGCTGCCTCCCGCTCCCCCGGGCCGCCACCGCGGGGCCCGGCCGGGGGCACTGCGTGCTCCCCGCCCCGCTCCTGGGGAACGGGGACCAGGGCTGCGGCTGAGGAAGGACCCCGATCCCCCCCCCCGCCCCTCAATCCCCGTTGCCGTGGCGGATCTGGTCTCACACACCGCCCTTCGCTGCAGCTCTTTCCCCCCCCTCCGCCCCAAATATCCTACGAAGTCTGTCCCCCCTGCAAATACTGCTGTCTCCCGTTTTCCCATTCTCTGCTCCCCAGCCTACCCCTGTACCTACGTGCACCGCTCTGTTCTTAACAGACCTCTTTCTTCCACCCGCCTTTCACTCCCTGCTTCCAGGGGTGCTGCTGGCAGGGTGCCCCCCAGGACTCCCCTTTAAGGGGCTTAAATGACCCACACACACACACAGCCACAGATGACCCAGCAGCAGCATTCAGTCCCATAGCAGAGACACAGCCCCATCCGTGTGTCTTCCCCCAGAGAAGTGGGGCTCCCTGCCCCTCCCGAAGCAGGTCTCACCTCCCTTTCCCCTTGCCATAGGGACCCCCACGACCATCTGTGCTGTGGGGAGAGGTTGCCTGGGCTCTGCAGCTGGATCAAGCAGGACCCCAAGGTGAGAGTGGGGTGGGATGCCGAGGGGGACATGGGGTAGGGGACAGAGGTGCAGAGCCACACCCTGTGCAAACCAAAGGGTCTCCCAGTGTGCAGTAAGGGATATGCTGGGACAGTTCCAAGGACAGGGGGAGCAGGAGGTGCTTGAGGAGCAGAGCAAAGGGGTGACCAGTCTCTCCTGCTCAGCCTTGGGTGGGTTATTAATGGCCAGGTGCCATTGTGAGAGCAGTCTCCTGGTCCTGAGCTTCTCACACGGCGATGGAGGGGCACAGCCGACTGGCTGGGGAGGGATCCCAGTGGGGCTGCAACAGTCACAGATAAAGGCTGTGTTCTGTGAAATCCAAGCGCCACCAGACGGGCTCATTGCTTGCCTTGGCTGTGCCCCCTACCCGGCAAAGCACCCATGGGCAGCCACAGCCCACCCACGGATCCAACCTGTCTCCGGCCACCCCCCTCCCGAGCCCAGTTCTGGGTCACTGCTGCCACCCCTGCCCCAAGCTGCTTTGGGTGAGCCATTCTGATCTGCTCTCCATGGTGGAGAAGGGAGAACTCGCCAGAAGGATGGAAACACGAGCTGCTCTGGCAGGGAAAAGGCAAGTTAAACCCCCCTCCCTCCCTGTTTTCGTGGGGAAATCTGCACAAATCCAGTGTTATCCTAGTGCTTTGGGGCTGGGGCAGTGCCCAGCTGCTGGCAGTGCCTGCACAGCCTGGCACAGCCCTCCCTGGCTGCCCAGTTGCTGTGCTGAGACCACGCCAACTCGTTTCACCCAGGGCTAGCAATGACAGCTCCCTGCTGAGCGCGGCTGGACCGGGCTTAACAGCCTTGTTGGCTTTGCCTGCTGGAATGAGCCGAGGAGGAGGGCTGGTGCCCCGGCAGGGAGGAGGGACTGTCACCAGTCTCCTGGTGACACTTGGCCAACTCATTGCATCCAGTCTCTGCCCTGCCTTTCCAGCTGCCTGGGCTGGACTGGAGCTGCCCGGATGGAGACGGCTGCCCTGTGAGCCATGCATCCCCCAGTACTCGTTAGGAGCAGGACATGCTGTGGATGGGCAGGGGATAAGTGTTGCAGCTCTGGGCCGTTTGTGGGGTGGAAGAACTTGGATGACAGCAGTGGGATAGAGGGTGGCACCATATCACAGTGAGCAGGAGGGAAACTGAGGCACAGCAGCAGTGCCCAGGGGCAGGTGGAAGGCCCCTCCAGCTCTCCAGAGGGCAGTGCCTGGGTGGAGTGGGCACAGCACTTCCCGGGAGGGCAGCAGAGCTGATGGAGACTAAGATAATACTAAAAATACGGCAGCAGCTTTGTTGCCGCTGACAATAGCCCACAGTATTTTTAGCTGTTGTGGCATTAGCGACAGAGCGGCTTCTCCGGTCCCGCTGCTGCCCCATCCCACCCTCCATGTCGCCGGGCCCCCCAAGGCCCCCGGGGCTGCTTCCCGGTGCTGTGGAAACCGTAACGCTAGAAACTAAACACAAACACCTCACCCGCTGCCACCCCCGGCTGAGTCACGGCACTGCCTGCTCCCCTCGCCCTTGCCTCCCCCCCCCGTCCCGCCCACCCCCTGGCCCAAAAGCAGTAGCTGGTGCCCCCAAGCCAGCCTTGCTCTTGCTTATGGGTTATTGTCTGTCCCAGGGCCAGGCTTGGGCTTGACTTCAGTGTCCCCCATCCCAACTTTAACAGCTGGGAATTTATGGAGAAAACTCTGCAGGGTGACATCGCTGTTCCCAATTCCACGACTTTGGCATGACCCCAGTGCAGAGAGGCAGACTCTGAGTGGTGTCCAGTTTGCTAATATGACCCGCCCCAGCCCTCGCCCCCAGCCCCCAGGGATAAAAACAGCTGAACAGGAGCAAGCAAAGGCAGAAAGAGCAGCTCTGATTTCCCTTGCCAAGGGCCAGTCTGGGGTGCTGCACCTGGCCCCCTCATCCCATTGAAGGACAATGGGGTGTATGAGCAGGGGAAGGGGGTTCTGGGGTGACAGTGATGGTAGGACATGGGGAAATGAGGCAGCTCTGCTTAGCCCTCTAGGGAGGTGTCAGTGAAGCTGCCAGACCCAGCATGTTGATGCCCTCATCTCATCTTATGGGGGGAACAAGGAATGAGTGGGACCCTCTCCCACCTCCCAAGGGTGGTGTCCCTCTGCTGTGCTGTTCCATCCCCCGTGGGTTTTTGGGATGGTTTCTGGGGAGCTGGCAGGCTGCCACAGGGCAAGTTGGGCTGCAGCCCCATAGTTGGGCTGTGCACACTGGCATGTCTGCCCTCCCTCCACCACCCACATCCCAAAACTCCCAGCACCCACGGGTGTTCAAGGGCCAGGAGAGCAGCTGCATCATCTCTTCCCTAAAATAAGGCTGTGGCCAGCAGGCTGACTGGGGCGGGCTGCTGCGACCGTGACTATGTTGGGATGTTCTGGGGCTGAGGGCAGATCACGTCACGGGTATGAATTAATTAACACTAAGCAGTTCTGGATGGTGTCCCAGGCCTTTTTTCTATTTTCATTTTAGAGAACTTCAAGCCTGCTCGGCGTCTGCTGCATCCTGGGTCTGGTGGGGAAGCTGGGGTGGGAGCACCTACGTAGCTGTCCTAGTGCATACAGATGCTCAGTGCCCCGCTGTTCCCCAAAATGTGGGTGCTCCCACTGCCCTCAGGGCTTCCTGGCTTTGGAGGCCAGTGCAGCTGAAGGTGGTTTTCAGGACCCAATGTATCCTCCACTTTACGCCCTGGGTTTTCTTAACTCCCCACCCTGCCTGCAAGAGTGCACACACTCTTTGTGCCTGGCTCACAGCCTTGAAAATTATCTTGGAAAGGGATTTTTAAATAAAAGTTGTAAACACCCTCAAAGAGTACTTTTATTACCCAAAAATGGTGTGGGGATGAAGGACTGGGGCTGCAGGGTGCATGGTGTACCCAGTGCCTGGGATCCGAGGGGGGCTGGCCCCGCGTGGGAGGTTTGGAGGAGCATGTGTCCAGCTGTGTGTGCCCAGCTGTGTGCGCACACATGCCTGTCTGGGTGTAAGTGTAGCTGGGTGGGAGCAGTACAATTGCTACACAGTGCAGGGATCTGAGGGTGCTTGCTGTGAACAGGTTGGGGCTATGCAGAGGAAGGGCTGACCCTGCTGGGGCACATGGCACTGCTCAAGCTCAGTCTTCAGCCTCATTTTCCACTGATGAAACAGGCACTTCTCCCTGCCAGGCCTCCAAGCCCCCAGTGAAAGAAGGGGTGCAGCGGCCGAAAACATGCCCGTGCCTCATGCCTCCCGTGCAGGCGGCCAGAGAGAAGCCCTGTGCCAGCCAACCTCACTCAGCAACCCCCCCACCTTTAAATTTAGCACTTCCGTCTCCAGTTGTGTGAGCCAGGCTGGCAGCCAAACCTCTGCAGCCACACACAGCCCTTGGAGAGTGGCTGCCTGCCTTGGCAGGCTCGAGAGTCCTGGGAAATGCCCTGTCCTCGTTCCCCATGGTTGCCTCCCCAGCACTGCGATGTCCCATACCTGTGTCACCCCAGCCCTTGCCCTGTGTAAGCAGAAACAGTTAAATGACATGCCCAAGGTCCTCCAAGGGAAGCTATGGCAGAGCTGAAAATGACCCCCATGGCTCAAAGAAGGGTAGAAATAAAAGCCCAGTCCAGCTCTGCTCCCCTGGAGGGGCAGGGAATTTGGTGGACAGGGAATTTGACAGGAATGCTGTGCACATGTGCTCACCCTTTCGGTGCTGCTTGTCTGGCTGAAAGTGGGAGAACGCAGCACCACTCACCTACGTGCACACACCATCGCCCACGTGTGTGGGTGTGCTCACACACATGCCCCACACGTGGGTCCAGCTGTCCCACCAAGCCTGGCGCTCACCCCGTGCCCGTGTGTGCTGCCAAGGGCTCCTGTGCACCCACCTGCAGCTCTGCACACCCGCGCGTGGGTGAGCACACGTGCAAACACGGAGGTGTGCGTCTACACTTGGGGTCACATGTGTGTGTGTGTGTTCAGTGCACGTGTGTGCACACACACACGTGTTATGGGCAGTGGGGTGCACACACGTGTGCACACAAGCACGGGGGGGGCCTCGCTGTGAGCGGGCGAGGGAGCACGTGGGTGGGCAGAACGCGTGTGGGCTGGTGTGTGCTGTGCCCAGGCACCACCAGATGGTGCCCTGCCTCCATGTCACCTCTTGCGGACACAAACCGGCACCCTGCGCAGGGACACGGGGAGGTTCACGGGGGGACATACCCTCTGTGGGGTGATAACATTGCCCATGGGTGCTTGGACTCTCCAGCCAGGCAGAGCCCCCCACCACAGCCAGGGAAGAGTGACAGCCATGGTGACACCTGCCTATGCCAACTCTCTCAGAGATGATCAGGGTGGTGGATCAGCACCTTGGTGGCACTGGAGGAGAGGACTTTGCTGCAGGGGGTGCCCTTCTGGCAGGGAAGTAGGCAGAGCTTGGGGAAGCTGCGGGGTCTGTACATGGTTCGGGTGGGTGGGCAGCATCCCTCTCCTATATTGTCCAACACTGACAGTGGCTTAGCCACATGTAGCATTTTTTGGTTGTCAGTGGACCCCAGCCTGCAGTGACTCCAAACCTGCCCAGAGCAGCAACGCTCGACTCACACCCGCAGGTGTGGGTAGGGGCTGCAGCCCGCCCCCATCTCACTACCACGAGGCTGAGACCTGAAAAAACTTGCCACGCGAGAGCGCAGCAGAGATGAAGGGGACTATTAAGTGGGGGTGGCAGCCGCAGTTTCTGGTTCATTCCCCTCCCAGTTCTATGGGCTTCTGTCCCCACACCGCCCGCCCGTCTGCCCCACGTGCGTGGGTCGCTCCCAGTAGCCCCACCAGCTGCCTGCTGTGGGTGCTCCGTGCCCCACGGAGCCGCCATCGGGCCGGGCGTGAGGCTCGGGACCGCCCACCAGCCTCCCTGGTCCCGCAGCTCCTCCAAACCGGCTCGACCTGCCGAGGAGCCCAGACCTGCTAGGAGACCCAGGCGGGTCCACTCCCCACCGCCTGCCTCTGTCCCAAGAACGGCCCCATCCCAAAAGGCAAAGACATCAGGCGCGGCAGCGCCCCGCGTCCTCCTGACCCGGGGTTGGGAGGGGGCTCCTCGCCCAGGGGGCGCCAGCCGTGGGGTGGCTCATTTTGGCCATGTCCCCCTTTCAGACAAAGAGCCCGGCACAAAGCCGCCCCTGTGCCCGGACTCACCGCGTGTTCCTGCCCGCCGGAGCGCGGCTGCGTCCCGGGAGAGCCCACGACACGCAGGAGCGGGAGCCCCGGTGGCCGAACTATGCTGTGCTGAACCGAGCCGAGCCCAGCCGTGCCGCCTCGACGCGCCGGCACCAGGCGCACCCCCGATGCCCCCCAAAAAGTGGGACGGCCCCGCGGGCACGGGGATGCGGTGCGGGGCACTGGGACCCCCCACGCGTGTGCGGGTCACACGCAGAGCCTCGCTGTAAAAGGGCGCCCAAGGGGCGCTCGGCGAGGCCGCTCCGCAACCCCCGCTACCCTCCGTGTTTTCCCTGCAGCCTTTTGTGTGCGCGGCGCCGTGCGCGGGGAGGGCACCCGGCCTTCCCATTCCTCCTCCTCCTCCTCCTCCCCTGATCCCGCCCCCCCGGCCGCCATTTCGCAGCGCCGGCTTCGCCCGCGCCCTCTCCATATCATGGAGGACCGGGAGGAACAAAGGGCCCCCATCCGCCCCTGCCCCGCGGACGGGGCATGCCGGTCCCCTGCTCCCCCCGCCCCACGGGCACCCCCCGCCCCACGGGGCTGTGTGTGAGGAGCGCCTTATTTCAGGCCTCGCTGGAGTCCACGGGTGATGAGTTTGGTCCGGTCTCAGCCCGGTGGAAGCAGCACGTCCCACCCCCCCCGGGTCCCATCCTGCCCAGGGATGTGTGCAGGGGAAGCGCGGAGAGGTGCTGCGTGTGCACAGGTGTGTGCGTGCGTGGCCATGTGTGTGCATGAGTCGTGTGACAGCCCGTGCACGTGTGATGGCACTCCGGGGAGAGCATGTGCACTTGTGACGGGTGTGTGGGTGGCCGGTGACACGACAGCTGGCACTCACAGCCGTGTGCTCGTGTGTGGCACTGCACGTGTGTCTTTGCACACATGGCACCGTGTGTGCTTGCATGGCACTGCGTGCATGTGTGTGCCAGGCTGCGACAGAGTGACAGCAGGAGCGTGTGAGTGTGCACATGTGTGCACTTGAGCATCAGGGGAGGGTGTACGTGGGAGTCTGTGTGTGGCTTGGGGGACGTGTGTGTTGGTGTGCGTGTGGGGGCACACACATCTGGCCCCCACACTGTGTATCCAGGCTGTGGCCCCCATTTCTTCCCCAGTGTGTGAGCACGGAATCAGTGTGAGGGCGCAGAGAAGAGTGTGCAGAGTTCTCTGTGTGTGTGCCCCCTCAAGAGGAAGCAGCTGATACAAGGACACCCAGGCATGGTTTGGAGCACTACAAAGGCTGTCCCCCACAGCCTCCCCAGGACAGCAGCCCTATTCCCCTGCCCGGGGGCAACCAGCGGGGGGCACTGTTTTAGGGGGCAGCCAGTGTTGGTGCAGTGGCCCTGTCCAGAGGGGAAGGTGCACGGTGGAGTTGCAGACCCAGCCCATGGGCAGGCTGGCCCAGTTCCCCCATGGGCCCTGGCATTGGGGTCCACAGGCAGAGTGTTCCTGGTCTTCCTCTTTTTCCTTTCTCCAACAGCCAGGTCCCAGCTGTTTTCCCTGTTGCTGATCACACTGAAACCAGCACCAGGGCTTGGAGGGGAGCCTGGGGTCCCCACCGCTCCTTCCTGTCCCCTCGTGCCTGCAGGCATGGCCCCAGCTGCTCCAGGAAGGAGTAAATGAGGGAGCGGTGCACTGGAGGGTGTGCAGCAGGCTGGGAATGCAGGAGGCGGGTGGGATGCTATTCCCTGTCCCTGCCCATCCCTCCCTACCATGGCCTGGGTAACCCCTACAAGAGCCTCATCCTGCCTCCTGAAGCCCTGCTACAGACAACTGTTCCCAGCTCCTTCCCTCATATTCCGCCTGGTTTTTATTCTGTCCCTGCTTCCAGGTTTGTCTTGTCCTGGCAATGACAGCCATGTTTCTTTTGCCTCCCACTAAACACCAGTTGTTCCCAACACTCCCTGGCTTTGGGCACCACTCATTCGTTAAGCTGGATGCAGTCAAAACATCTCCCCCCCCCATAGGGCTTGTATTGCCCCCCATTCCACGTACCTTCAAGGAGAAACCAATCCAAGCAGAGGTGCAGGGCACAGCTCACCTGCAAATGGGGTGGAGCCAGCACCTGGTGCCATCCTTCACCCCACAGCCTGCACTTTTGCATACAAGAGCCCCCAGCCCCTGCTGTGCCCCCACTCCTCTGTGCCACAGTGCTCTTGCTGGGTGCCAAGCAGAGCTGGTGATCCACGCCTTCATAAGCTGAGGGTCCAGAACACCCAGGCAGAGGACACAGCGGGTGCACTGGTGCCACCCTGCCCTGCATGAGCGGCCTGTGGTGAGCAGTACTCTGATCACGGCTCCCATCCCCTCCCTGGCGCCTTCCAGCCACCAGCGTCAAAGCACTTTGCTGGCATTAAATATTCAGTTCTGTTCTCCATCCCCTCCCTGGGAAGGAGCTCAGCATCGCAATGAACCCGCTGGCCTGCCCGTGCCCTGTGTTGATGGGATGTTTCTGGGTGGATGCTGTCTGCCAGCCTCCTGCAGAAACAGCTGGGAGCAGAGGAGAGGAGAGCCACATCCCCCAGCACATGGACAAGTAGTGGCCCTGGGGACCAGGGTCACCTTGCCCCCCGCCAGCTGCTCTCCCATGAATCCTCCTGCTGCAATGCAGGGCTCAGCTCTCCCTGCATCTCTCCCCCAGGTTTGAATGTGTCCAGCAGCGGCTCCCTCTTCCCTACCTGCATTTTCCTTTACCCCTCAAGTACCAGCTGGCATGTTCACCCAGTTGCCTGTTGAGCTTGGATTAATGCCCATCAGGCCCCAAACAAGGTCACACAAGGGCAGTGGGAGCCCCCTGTGTGCTGCAGCGGGAGCAGGTTGGATGGTGGGTGGCTGTCCCCATGCAGAGATCCTGTGGGATGGCCAGCAGGCACAGGTAGCAGAGCTAATGGGGGTCTGCAAGGAAATAAATATTATTTGGGAAGTTAGTCCTGAGCACTAGACAAGTGCGGGGGCTTGAGGTCCTTTCCGTGAAGCAGAGGCGCAGCAAACCCTGACCCAGAGCCAAGACTGGAGAAACAGGGAGCAGGTGACTGTGCATGGAGGAAGATGTGTGAGCATCACAGCTTTGGGAGCCTGAGCCAGCAGCCCAGGCTGTGAGAGCAGGAACCTCACCAAAAGCCACAATCCCAGTATCCACCAGGGCACCTAGGAGCCCAGGGCATCACTGAGGCAGGACAGAGTGAGGGAAGTAGAAAGAAGCAGCTCTTGCAGTGGGGCAGGGACTGTATTCTGCTTCCTGGCTGCCACAGGGTGACAGTGGCAGCAGGGGTATTTTTCAGAGAGAAACAAATACTGTGAGAAAGAGAA